TGTGGTCTCCATTTTGCAATCCAGGGTGACCAGACCATTGAGTCCAAGGGAGGGACCCCTACAGTGAGGAGGAAACACTTGGAGGTGTCTGGGAGGATGGGTGGGAAAGGGAAAGGGAAATCCTCATGTCTGTCACTGACTCTCCAGACAGGACACCGACCTAGAAGCCAATCAACTCACCACTCTCTCTCCCTCTTACACACAAACACACACACAGAGGCACTTTAGTGAAGTGTTAGATCCTTTCTGAAGAAAGCTGCCTTACTTTCCACCCTGCTCAGTTGCCTGCCCTCTCTGCCACCTTCTCCCAGTGCACCAAGAATTCTCTGAGCCAGTGATTGTAGTCTCCTATTAAATCTTGCTGAAATACTCTGCTGGTCTCTGTCATCCCTCCACTCCTCCTTGGTCCCTATGGCCTCAAGTGAATAATAACTTCTCCTCTTCTTCCATAGTTGCACCCTACGATCCATCTTCCTTACTTGATTTTTGCTTGTCACCTTTGTTTTTGGAGAATATCTTCTCTCCTGCTGATTTCAAAGTCTCTTGTTTCTTTTCTATCCTGAAACCTTGGCTTGTCCTTGCTCAGGTGCAGAATCTTGGCCAGAAGGTCACTTCTGACTTTACGATGTTTTCAAGACTTGGATGCCTAAATGGCAACTGAAACAGCAACTGAAGAGGCCTTTGGTTTCACATTCATTGATGATTCCACCTTTCACATCTTTGTGAATCTTGTGAGCATCTCTTCTCCATCTTTAGATTTTATTTGAAAGATGGTTTCTATTTGTCTGTGTGCCACTACGGATGCTCCAAAATTATGTCCCTAATATTGTCAAGGAAAAAAACACATTTTTTTTCTCAAGCAGAATCTGCCTTGGACTGTGGTGGTCATGACCACCTGCCTCTCATGTCTCCAAAGGCAGGGCGCTCACTACTTACCCAAGGGTCTCGGGCTGTGCTCTGAAGTCTTTCTTCTCTGTTTGTGCCAAGACCATGCTTCCTATGGTGACTAAGCCTGATGGGGGTGCTGAGGCAGTTCCCTTCCTGGGGGCCAGGGAGCGTTCCCTGATGCCTGCCTTTTACTAGAGGCCTCCCTAGGGCTCTTCAGATGTTCCCTAGACTACAGGGAAGTGTAGGGTGCTACTGCCCAACTTCCTGCCCCTCTCTCCGGCACGTGGGATCAGAATTCTTCAGGCTGAATACTTCTCCTAGGTGTTTCCCCTAATGAAATTTCTCCAGGTAAATCCCATCTTGGCATCTGCTTCTCAGAAGAGAGAGGATCTGGACTAACAAATGGATTTATCAGTTTAAATTACATTTCATTATATTTAAGGTTCTGATAATCACTGACATATAGAATTTCCTCTAATACAGCACATCAGAAGTAAGAAATTGCATTATTTTGTCATTGGGTCCCTCAATTCTGTAAATTCAGCTTGTTGATTTTTTTCCTAGAATTTTATATAAGAAATGTGAGCAATGCTGTAAAATAAAATGCTTTGTCTAGTCATAGCTACATAAAAATATAACTTGTACTGAAATGCTGTGTATTTGTCAAATATTGAAGAAATTTCCAATTTTTAAGGCAATTCTGGCTTCTCGTTTCAGTTGACATAGCAATCTGTAAAAAGATGTAAGCACCAACTGTGTTCTGGAGGGACAGGGAGGTAAAAGCATTGATAAGCCAAAGTGAGCCTCCTCTGTAGACATGATCCTGTCTAAATTGCTGAAGTCACACAGATAGCAATCTTGAACTTTCCACTTCTCCAAAGCTCTATGCACTCCTAGAAGCACTCTCTGGATGTCTCTGCAAGTGGCTGAACAGCTCCTTGTGGTCCTCTGTGGAGCTGCAGCGACCCAGGGGCTTTCATGCTCACCAGGTCCCACTGGCGGTGTAACCCCACTGTGGGTCATGGAGGAGACCAGGTGTAGGTGCTCCTGCCCCTATCCCTCTCCCAATTGACCATTTTTTTTTTTGAGACAGAGAGAGGGTCTCACTCTGTTACCCAGGCTAACGTGCAGTGGCATGATTATAGCTTCCTGTATCCTTGAACTCCTGGCCTCAAGAGATTCTCTCACCTCAGCCCTCTGAGTAGCTGGAACTGCAGGTGGATGCCACCATTCCTTGCTTGTAGAACAAAACTTTAAATTTTGATGAAATCCAATTTAATTTTTTTATCTTGTTGCTTATGCTTTGGTGTCATCTATAAGAAGTTTTGCCTAAGACAATGTCAGAAAAGCTTACTTAGATGTGTTCTTCTAAGGGTTTTATAGTTTTAGCTCATATGTTTGGGTTGATGATTCATTTTGTGTTAGTTTTTGTGTGTGGTGTAAAAGAAAGGGTCTAAATTTATTAATTTACATGTAAATATACAGTTGTCTCAACACCATTAAAGAGACTATTCTTTCATCATAGAATCATCTTGGCACCTTTGTTGAAAATCAACTGATCATACATGTGATGATTCCTTTCTGGGCTCTCAATTCCATTCTTTTCATCTATAGGTCCATTTTTATATATCACTGCAATATCTTGAGTATTATAGATTTGTAATAAGTTTTGAAATTGGAAAGCGTAAGTCTTCCAAAATTGCTTTTCTTTTTAAAGATTGGTTTGACTATTCTGTGTTCTTTGCATTTTTTGTAGAAATAGTGGGATCAGCTTGTCAATTTCTGCAGAAAGGTCAGTTGAAATTTTAATAAAGATTGCAATGAGTCTGTCAGTTCAATAAGCTTTGGGATTATTTTCATCTTAACAATATTAAGTTTTCTATCTATTGGAACAAAGGATGTCTAGCCATTTATTTAGCCCAAGAGTTTA